TCACATGCCATTATATCATTTTGAACATAAATAATAAAAACTAGATCATTTTGTTTTGTTCAGCTAATAATTGGAGTTCAGTAATTTTGTCTTTATTGAGTGAAGTTGCATTGGTGTAGAAGCAATGGAGAGATTTTGATTTTTTTGATGAAGATTGCTTTTGTTTGGTATTGACGCATGTGCTGATTGATTAGCTAACTGTTCAGACTGGAATGACATATGATAGTCCTGCAACTGCGCAAGCTTCTTTCTAGTCAACAAACGGGTTTTTCTCAGTACCGTTAATATTGATTGTTTTTTGTGTGTTGATGCATTTCTCCCTCCTCGGATGACAAATTGAAAGAGCTGATTGAGTGCATTATTTGTCTTTAGAGCGTCATTGTACTTTTTCATATTTTTATCAAGCTTGTTAAAAGTATCAACTACAGAAGGAGTTCGGTCTGGACTAATAAAAACTTTGTTCCTGTACCTGTCAAATTTTAATAGATTTTTTGCAGAAGCTTGTATACTGTTCCTAGTTTCCACATCTTCAAATTAGACAATAATGGGTTGAGCAGTTGGAGAGTCCTTTTGAGCACTTATATTTGCTGGAAGCTTATGGACTATTTTGTGAGTTGAACCTGTTTTAATGGCCTCAATAACACCTTTTACAGCAGCTTTGTTTTCATTGTAAATTTTTGCGCAAGGAAAACCATAAATGACTACACAGGTTGCCTTAGTTGCTTGCATCTTATTATTTTGTTCAGTAACCTTTGCAATAGCCTTTGCTGCTATTGATTTGGGGTTAGCTACAACCTCTGACCAAGCTGTTGAATTTGCTGTACACGTTTGTGAAGTTTGTGTTGTTGTTTGATGCTCTTTGTTGTAATTCAAGTTTAAGAGCAACATTTCAAGTGTTGATATTTTCTCAGTAAGAAATTTAATTGTTGCTGCGAGTGACTTAATCCAACAGTCATGTCTAGTAGTTGTTTCTGATGGTTGACCAGCCATTTTTGGCCAGTTTGTTAGTGCAGATATTGGATTGTGTTCAAAATCCTTTTCTTTTTCTTTTGCCATTGATAATACTATTGCCATTGATAATATTATTCTGTTTACTAATAAGAGGGATAACACTCTGAATAACAGTGGATTACCTCCAATCAGGAGCTAAGAGGGCTACCACCCTGAATAACAGTGGATTACCTCTTGTGAATTTGTTAAACCTTATAACACAGGGACTTATTAACACAAATTCAACGTAAAGTTTTGTTTGTGTTTTTTCCGTTATTATAAATTAATTATCAAAAAAAACAAAAAATTGTGCCACATTTTTTATTTGCAAAGATTAAGTGGAAAAAAATTTAAAAAAGCAAATTAAATAGATGGTACTTATCAAATCAATAAAGAAATAATAATGAAGGAAAGCCAATAAAACTATAAGAAAAAGTTTTTAATTGTTAATTTACAAGTAACTCTTTTTTAAGAGTCTGTTGTCATGTTGTGTGTTTTTTTTACATAAAAAGGCCTAATATTTAATTGAATAAAATAATTCAGTTGGGTTGTAGCTGGATTGGTCTAGAATAAAAAATTATACTTGTTTTAGTAAAATGAACTAAAAACTGATAGGAAAACAAATTATTCAACGATTTTTTCATACCTTTACATTTAAAATAATATTTTGTACTCTTGAGAATAAGGTTTGTTTTGAGTTGTTAAGTTAAAAAAAGTATTTAGTTACATTACTGTAATTGAATAGTTTTTTTTTGTAAACTTTGTATTTTTAAGATTTTTTTTTGAAAGTGTACTTTTACTTTAGTTTAAGTCAATATTTTTTAAAGTACTTTACTTTGCTACATTTTAAATCATATATGTTAATGAGTAAAAAAAATTATATGCACACTCCTCTTTCCCTATACCTACTTATGTCAGTCGATGGATATACTACACTGTCTTTTATAAGTTTTGTTTGATGATATATTGGTTGTATATCTTTTTTTCATTTTAAGTGTTTATAAATTATTATTATTTATTTTTTTATGTTTTTTTTGTTATTATTGTAAGTACTGTTAGGGTGCATTGTTAGTCTTGTATATTTTTAAGTTTTTAAATATGATTTGTTCGAATTTAATTATTCTCTATTCTAATGTACTTAATTTTCCCCTCAGGCATTCACTGCTTGTGTGTGACCATTCCACAAATTTATATGCTAATGTTTTTAAGTTAAAATGGATGCACACTCTACTTCCCCTTTACCTACTTAGGTTAATTGATGTATGTAACTACAGCTTTATCAGTTATTTTATGTACGCATTGATGCACTTATTCTGTAAACTTTTAAAAAATTTTAAAAATAAAGAAATAAACAACTAAGATAGTTAAAATAAGTCATGATAGTCAAAACTACTTCAAAATAAAATATCAAAATAAAATAAAAAACTTCAAGAAAAAGTTGAACCCAGCCCCTAATTAGCCCTACTAAAACATTTAATCATCTACGGCTCTATGTCAACACATAAGTATTTAAAAACCTAAATTTGGTTTACAAAAAATATTTTACAGATGGCTAATATTTTGTAGACACATACAAATAATGACTTCCAAAGTAATATTAAATTAAAAAGTTAAAATTTATATGTATTAAAACAGATTAGTCAACTAAAAACAGCAAAAAAAACTTATAATATTATGGCATTCAAAGTCGAAAATTGCATGACATAATTTATGGACAACCCTTTGAAGAAATTAAACACTTAAAATTACTTAAATTAAAATATACTTCTGAATTTTATATTTAAATCTTTCTTATTTAAGTTTTAAAAAATGAATTAAAAAAAAGTTAAAAGAAAATTAAAAAAGCTTTTAAAAATGCGGTATTATTTACTCAGAATATATTTTTGTGAAGGTACTTTTAACTTTTACTTGAGTAAACTTTTCAACCAGTAACATTTACTTGTATTTAAATAAAATTTCACTCAAGTAACAGTACTTTTATTTGAGTACAAAATTTTGTTACTTTTTCCACCACTGGAAAACTATAATTAATTTTATTATTATTTAATTTGTTATATAATTCTTCATTTTAAAAATATCAAAAATTAAAAATATTCAAAATGCTTTTTGACATTTGTTTTAATTTTAATTCAATATATAACAAGCACCCGCAATAGGGTGACAATTTTTTTGAAAATTACTATTTAAAGCTGTTCTTTAACACATTTTGAAATGGTTGGAGATAATGTTTTTGCTTTAATTTTAACTGAAAATGTCTATATATTAAATGTACAAATCTCTATATTTTACAAACAGTAAATAAAAATCAAGTAAGTAAAAACATTCAATCTATTATAACAAATATACAACAAAAAAAACAAAAACACTTCAGGGGTGTACACTCGAACTTTTGGTCGGTCACCAGAAGGGGAACTGAAAGTAACAAGTTCATAAATTTTGATCTTTTTGAGTTGCCCATCACTATTTTTATAAAAAATTTTGCATTCAGTAGATTTCTTACATATTTTAGCCATTTTAAATTATAGGACTAAGTGTAAACTAGAATTATTTTGCATAAATAAAAGTAATATTATAAACTATTAATAATATTCACTTTTATACTTTCAGATGAAGTACATGCATATATGCCATTAGGTTTTTCACTTGAATTGAACACTTATTTTATCAAAAAAATATACACTTTTTTATAACAACAAAGTATTGACAAATATAAAAAAACAATGTACAAATACTTAAAAACCCTTTGTTTTTAATGTGTTGTAATTATTAAGATCTTACTTGTTACAGGAGCTTTAAATTATTGAAAGTATTTTAAAGTATGACGTTGTAATTAAATTTAATTTTTAAAGAGGCTAAAAATTAATTAAACATTTAACAAAATTAATTTTAACAAAAGTTATTAAAAGAATCTAAAATTGGTATTTAAAAAAGATTATATTTCCTAATAATTTATTTCTTAAAACAATCTTATACTTAATATGATCTTTTAGATTTTATCAGTTACCAATAAGATATTTGTAAACGTAACTTTTGTTCATAAACGTATTACATGAAAAGAACTTTACACAATATTGAATTAATAAGAAAAAAAAAATACATTTGAGAAAAGGATTCACCCTTTTCAAAAGAAAAAACATTTTTAGTTTCCTTTTGCATATTAATTTGTAGATTATCTATGATAATGTATGGTAGAAAGACTTATTATATGTAATGAATAAGTAATATGATTAGAATATGTGATATATATCAAACAAATGATTAGAAAAAAAACATTTTTAATAAAAATTGGAAAAATATTTTACATTCCTTTGAAATTAAATTTTACATTCAACATTTTACTATTTTTCTATCCTTCAAAACTAAATTTAAATTTTTAAATCATTTTTAAATTATTCTAAAAAATTTTTTTTGCCTAACTGAAAGCTTTTGTCGTTTACATTTTACAAAAAAGTTTTCGCTTTACCAAACACTTTCAACATTTACGGAAAAAACACATTTAGGGAGCTGTATAAGGCTTCTTAACATTTTTTTTTTCTTTAGCAAATTTAGTTCGATTAATTTGTCTCTAAATCCTTAAATAAATTTGTAAAAAATAAAAATAAAACAGTAATTTTGTTTAAACAATAAAACTTTTTAGTTTTTATTTAGAAAGTACTTTATTAAATACATTTAAACGCTCATGCGCTTTTCTTATGTTCTAAATAATAATAAAAAATGATGGAAACTTTGATACTGTAACTTTAAAGTTTTAATATTATTTAAGTTATTCTTCTTTTTAAAGGATTCTTAAATTTATAAAAAAAAAAATAGAACTGCCGATAAAAATCAATAGCTGAAAAAAATCAATGATGCAAGTAAGTTGCTTTTTCGGGCGACTTAATTGCATCAAAGAAATATTTTAAATCGCCCTTCACAAAATTTGGTTGTCTGGTACAGTCGGACAACCATGAGTGTACACCTCTGCACTTAGTAAAGAGCTAAGTAAACTTAAAATTCTTTACAAGACTAACCTGGCCATACAGTTGTTGTTAAAGAAGAAGCAGTTATAGTTGTTGTAGAAGCTTCAGTTGTTGTATTTGAACATGATTGATATACAATTGAACAGTTTACATTTTGGTTATCCATACATAGATTTAAAAAACAAGGGCAGTGAATTTGTTCTATATAATTTAACAAAAAGTATACCCAATAAAAATTTTGAAATTTAAAATGTAAATAACATTAATACAAAAAGAAATTTTAATATTTGAAAAATAAGAAAAATTGTAAAAAAAACTGTGCTTTTTTCAAAAGCATTTATACTAAAGTATAAATATATTTTTAAAAACGTTTTTAAAATATATTAAAATTCAAAATTGTAAAAGTACCTATTGTGTATAGAACTTCATCCGATGTAACTGGAAATGTTGCTGTTATACTTGTGGTTGATTCTGGAGAAGTAGTTGTGGTTGATTCTGGAGAAGTAGTTGTAGTTGATTCTGTAGTATTAGTAGTTGTGATTGACTCTGGAGTAGTAGTTGTGGTTAATTCTGTAGTATTAGTAGTTGTGGTTGACTCTGGAGTAGTGGTTGTGGTTGAACCTGGAGAAGTAGTTGTGGTTGATTCTGTAGTATTAGTAGTTGTGGTTGACTCTGGAGTAGTAGTTGTGGTTAATTCTGTAGTATTAGTAGTTGTGGTTGACTCTGGAGTAGTGGTTGTGGTTGAACCTGGAGAAGTAGTTGTGGTTGATTCTGAAGTAATAGTTGTAGTTGATTCTGTAGTAGTAGAAGTTGTGGTTGACTCTGGAGTAGTAGTTGTGGTTGAACCTGGAGAAGTAGTTGTGGTTGATTCTGAAGTAATAGTTGTAGTTGATTCTGTAGTATTAGTAGTTGTGGTTGACTCTGGAGTAGTAGTTGTGGTTAATTCTGTAGTATTAGTAGCTGTGGTTGACTCTGGAGTAGAAGTTGTGGTTGAACCTGGAGAAGTAGTTGTGGTTGATTCTGAAGTAATAGTTGTTGTTGATTCTGTAGTATTAGTAGTTGTGGTTGACTCTGGAGTAGTAGTTGTGGTTGATTCTGGAGTAGAAATTGTGATTGATTCTGGAGTAGTAGTTGTTATAGTGGTTGTTGAAGATATATCAGTTGTTGTTGAAATTAAAGTAGATGTTGTACTTACATAATTGCATGACTGAGAAGCAAGTTTGCATAAACTAACACTTGGGTGGTCATTACAAAAAGTTTGTAAACAAGAACAATAAACCTTTCCTACAAAAAGTATGTTAATATATTATACATAGGTCTTACCATAAAACATAGAAACGAGGTCGGCAATTTTTTTGCCGACCTCGTATATATATATATATATATATATATATATATATATATATATATATATATATATATATATATATATATATATATATATATATATATATATATATATATATATATATATATATATATATATATATATAAATATATATATATATATATATATATATATATATATATATATATATATATATATATATATATATATATATATATATATATATATATATATATATATATATATATATATATATATATATATATATGTATATATATATATATATATATATATATATATATATATATATATATATATATATATATATATATATATATATATATATATATATATATATATATATATATATATATATATATATATATGATTTGGTACTGATTGTCTAGCTGACTTTACTGATAACATTAATGCATTTGTGATATTAATAGTGTCAGCTTGAATGTTCTGAGAATTCATATGATTTTTTATAATGCAATAAGAGACTATTGAGTTAGACTGAATATTTTCATTTTGAATTGCTTTGTTTATGCTGAAACCTTTTTCTACAAAAATTTGACTATGACTAACCGTTAAAATCATTTTGATAATATGATTTTGTTCCTTATGTTTGGCTATATTTAGTTGATGAAAATAGAAGATATCTGAACAAGTGGTTTTCTTATCAATGCTAAGAAATTTTTCTATATTTATTTTCATGTCATTTCTTAAAAGTATTGAATACTGAAGCATGACATTATCACTTTGTGTTGCAGATATATTTTTTAAACTGACAAGATAATGTAACAATCTTTTTAGTGTATTTTTATTAGATTAATTGTTAATGTTTTGAGATTTTGAGATTGGTTCAAAACAACTTGTATTCGCTAGGATTGCAGAGTCTAGTGGGATGGGTTTAAGTAAACTTTCCATGGTTTTTGTGAGAAATAAAGCACATTCATTTCTAAACTGATTTAATTCATTAAGAGTTATATTATCTTTAACAAGGAGTTCTTTAATTGAAACTTCAGCCGCAAAACCAATAATAACATCTTTCCTTGGTAGCAAATTCTCTTTTTTATAGAGATTTATCTTTTTCAAGTCACTACCTTTTTTGCAGCTTTGAATTACTGAAGGTTTAAAAAATAGAGCCAAAATATTTGTTATCAATTCTCTAAGATCAGTATGGAATCATTGGTTGATCAGTCTGATAGAGTGCCAAGTAGGTTTTAAACAAGCTTGCAACATAACTAAAAATTTGTAACTTTGAAACTGTCAGGGAGTCATTTGATGCTTTTTGAACACTAAAAATTTTTTTGAGAAAGGCTGTTTAGACTTTAATAATTTTTTTCCAAAATCTAATTAATTTTACAATGTGTCCCATATTTCGATTAGGCAATCAACAACAATTTGGTCTTCAATCCATCTTGTTGAACAGAAACTCAATGGATACCGATTTAAGGGATAACTATAACAGTGTTACTACACTGTTATAGTCATTCCTCCTAGCCGGAGTATCATGGAGTATTTGGTATGCTCCCTTTAGAATACTTTTTAGATTCTATGATGTAGACTCAGAACCTAATTTAAAAGTTCCATGTACTACATGCAAACTACAACATCCAATATCAAGTAAAGAATTGAATTCGCACTCATTTCGGTATATAGAAAGTTCTTTAAAATTTCCAATTTGTATTAGGCCCATCCATAGATACTTATCATTTTTGAAAAATCCAGATTATCCAGACCATTTGTATTTCTTTATTGAAATTTTTTAGAATTTGTGCTGCAGAAGAATGGTCAAGAAAAACTGAATTCAAACATCGCACATTGACCTAATTTAAGTATTCCAAATTATAACAACAATATCCATTTGACAATTTTGTGTAAGTTTGTTTAAACTTTCATCAAATGAGACAGCATAAGATGGCGAATTTTTGATACTTTCAAGAAGTAAGTATTTAAAATATGGTGCTAATCCATAGTTAATCATATATCCTATTTTTGTTCTATATATCCTAATGATAATCCTTTTGCCACTTTGCTATCTGGAAAAATACTAGTAAATATTTCGCTCAAACTAGCAGATGCATTGTTTGACAATCCATTCATAACAGTTGCAAGAACCCATCTTATTTCAGATCTTGTTTCTTAATTGGAAGTAACAACAAGTTCTAAAGTTTTTTGACCATTAGCCAGGGGAGTGTTAATGTAATAGTAGAATGTTTTACAACAGGTTTGAAAAAGTGAACCCCCATGTTTGACAAATTAAAAGTTTTACAACAGCTGTTACATCTGCAACTTTATTGTTGTCAGTCTTAACAAGACATTTTTTATACTCTGGGTGATTTAGCCAATCATTTGAAAAAATTGTTTGATCCATTTTAATTATTAATAACTCTAAAAAAATATATATTCTTCTTACAAACATATTACATATATTTATAGATTTAATAATGAAAGATTATAAATTTATATATAAAATACTTTTATATAACTTATTAAATTAAACTTTACTCAGTATTTTAGTATTTCCTAATAAAACCCATAATAAAAATTCTACTTAAAATAATTAAATAACTTAATTAAAAAATATAAATTCAAATTTAATATTGAAAATAAGCAAACCATACAAAATTAACATCAAATGTAAAATCTCATAAAAAGTTATGATAATATATATTACGAATTTATCATAACTTAATAAAATATTATTTTTAAAATTGAAAAAAATTTTCCCTGAGTTTTCCCTGAATATTAAATAAAAAAAAACAATCCCTGAGTTTTCCAGGTTTTCCCTGGGATTCATGCTATTTCCAGGTTTTCCAGGTTGAGTGGCAACCCTATATATATATATATATATATATATATATATATATATATATATATATATATATATATATATATATATATATATATATATAAAAATATATATATATATATATATATAAATATATATATATATATATATATATATATATATATATATATATATATATATATATATATATATATATATATATATATATATATATATATATATATATATATATATATATATATATATATATATATATATATATATATATATATATATATATATATATATATATATATATTTAAATATATTATATGGCGTTTTTTTTTGTTTTTTTTTAATTAGATATTGCACACCCTCTTATTTGGTGAGGTTCAATAAAAAAAGTTCACTGATAAAATTTTTTTCCATACTGATAATGGGAAGTGGTCCCCCACACCTGCTTTGTAAGCCCTTTAGAACCCCGTTTTTGTCCAAAATGACATATTTCTAAAATGTATTCCCAGACCCCACCCTCAGGGCGCTTGGAACCGGATATGTTTTTTAAAATTGTAATTTTCTGAAATGCATTAGAATAAACTATTGCCAGTGCTACATACAATAATTTTACTTTAGGGTGAAGGAAAATGTATGAATGTATGTAACAGGGGTAACTTGGGGCAAGGGAAAGGGGGGATCGGTAAAAATACAAAAAGTTGTTATAACAACTTAAAAAAGATTCTTATTATTTAACATTTCTTCAGTTTTTTTAATTGTGAGTACTAGTGACCCATATGCCCCAAACTAGATGCATAGATGTCCATATGCCCCTCAACCAGTCATTTCTAACTCAGCCCATAATTCAAATTTATAAATTAAAAAATAACAAAAAATAATGTACTCAAACGAAAATTTTGAAAGAATGAAAAAAATGATTTTATGCGTTCAAGAAAACATATTACAAATAACAACATTTAAAATTATTCTAATAAAATAACATACATAATTTAATCAAACCTTGACATATAACTAAATTAAAATACTACAGAAAAACAATAGCCATATATGAATTTAACTATATATTTAGTTCATATTATATGTATGGATATTTGAATAGATTAAATTGCTGTTATTTAGAATGATTATGGCTTAACTGTCTCTTTGTAGCTTCAGTTAAAAATTTTTTATGATACTCAACTACTTGGTAAAGAAGCTGATGCTGATTGTCATTTTTCGTCAAAACTTCATTAAAGTCAGTGGCTAATTTAACTGTCCGTTCTGCACAGTCATTAACCACTTTCATGGCACAAAGAATTTTACAAGCAGCCTTGTAGTCATCACGATTAGCCCAAGTTTTAGGAGATGATGTCAAGAATTCTTTTGGTAGATTGAGAGAGTCAAACAAATTCGTTGAGCGTCGTGTAATAAAATCAGCTATAGAAAGTTTAGAGAATGTATAAATCTTGTTTGAAGCAAGCCTTCTATTGTCACCTGGCAATGGTTCTTTTTGTAAGGTATTTACTATTTCCCTTTTCTCTTCAACAGAAATTTCTTCAGTGAATAATAAGAGAACAGCTAGATCTTCACTTAAATACCATAATCAAAGTTTAATTTTATTTTTTGCAACATTTGCTATCAACTTGAAAATAGTTCTCTATTACTTTTAATTGAAGGAGATCATTTTTTGGTGCTTTTGTTGTGAGAGGTGCTGAAAACCAGAAACATACACAAATTGTGGTTGTAAAGAGACAAATTCTTCTTAAAATCCCGATTTCTTTATCTGTGACATTTAATTAATGACAAAAAACCAAAAATTTTTTAACAGTCCATTCCTTTTTTAATTTTTTATCAGCCATCTATCTTGCAGGAAGGTAAACCCCAGGAGTGTTAACACTTGTTGTATCATTATTTTCTCCCAAAAAAAGAAGAGCTAGTCGCCCGAACTCTTTATAATCATCATGTGGTCGAGTGTCCTTTAAGTTTTTTTTTTAATTTTCCACCACATTGGATTTTTGAGATGCAAGCCACTCTTTTCAAGCTTTGTAAGGCATCCAGTTCCGCTTGTATCACTTTCAAGTGGTTCAAACTTTGATTTTTCTATTAACTCCCACTGGGACTTCACTCTACCAAAAAGTTCAATGTTTGGTCCTTTTGATACAAAAAACGTATCAAACACTGCATTTTCACAGATTTCAAGAATATGATGTCGATAGGCTAAAAACAAAACTCTTCGGTTCATTGACTACCGTATGACAGTTATTGCCCCATTATAGCTTCCTGTATTACTCGCAGTCCAGTAAAAGCAAAGACCTGCAAGATGCTCCTCAATGCCAGGCCATTCATGAATGAACTCAACTACTTTCTGTCCCATCAGAGCACCAGTACCAATAGGTATCTCAGGGATCCCTAGTAATTTCATAATATCCAAGACAGATACAACAATTGGCAGACATTAGCGTCTGGTTCTATCAACATACGACAACATTTTACCATCAAAATGATTAACTAGCGGAACCAAGGGTTGAAAATCATACTGCTATTGTATGTACTACTACATACTGTATCATACTGCTATTGAAAGAGAGTAGTGAGATGCAGTTCAAGCTTCTATTAGAGTGGAACGTGATAATGTTAATTTTTTTACATCAATACCGATTGCAGCTAGGGCTGGTGTGACAACCATCATTGCTTGTCGTGGTGTTATTTTTGTTCGGCTTAATGTTGCATGAAAGAGTTGATTGTCAAGAATACAATGTTTGGATACTGTAATTGAGAGTGCTCATAGTAGAATGTTTTGAGATTTTTCGACGATTTCGACGAAAAACTTTTTGTATTTAAATTGACACATCACAGTCAGAATTTTCATCCAATTTATGAAAGACAATTCAGAGTAATCTGAATTGTCATTCATAAATGTTTCTGTAGATTTAACTTTACTTTATGTTGTTCATAGCGCCTTTTTTCTTCAAGCTTGCATTTTCTGTATTTTATAACTGCTTTCTTATACATTAAATCTTCTGATGTCATTAACTTCTTTCGGGGGCCTCTCTGGTCTATCAGAAATTGTTTATTTTCATTTATCTTGATGAGACAATCCCATTCACTATGGGCAATATCAAAAAGTGTAGACATCTTGGTGGTGAATTTTTCTTCATAGTTGAGTTTTCTTCATAGCTGATTTTCTACTTCTGTGCTTAGACACTTGAACATGTTGCTTGTGAATACTCTTTAGTTTGGCAACTACATGAGGCTTTGATATAGTAGGAATATTAGCGTTTAGCCAGAAAATCATAACTTCGTCTGCAACTGTGTTGCAGGATATTGAAAGAGTTGACTTTTTGAATATCATTTCATAAAAAACTCTAAATAGTGCAACACCGCTTGTTGGCAACTGACTCGGTCCATCTATTGTGGAGAGTATATGTCCAAATAGCCAAACATTTGTAGTTAAGCATGTTATTTTGTTTGAAGCAGCCATCTTTTTATGTAATATTTTAATACTTTTCAACTATAATAGAAAGAATATAACAGAAATATAATAATTATAAAGTGCTCAAAGCATGATAAAAAAATTGAAAGTCTTAGATAATACACCCGCCCCCATTCTTTCCTAACCCTTTCCCACCCAACAATGGCCAACCATGTCATTACTATTATTAAATTTATACAAATTTAATTTCTGAGCTAAAGTTTATTAAGAAAAAGTTTACTTGAAATTATAGCAAATAAAATGTTTTTGAAATCAAAATAGGTGTTTAGAAGCAATTTTGGGTAAATAATGCTGAGAGGGGTTAATCTAAATTTGCTTGTACTTTCCAGTCTTCTGTGAACTATTTATGTTGTTACATTATAATATTTTTATAATATTATTTGTTTTTAGATCAATTTATAGCAGTATTTTCTATGAAATAAAAATAGAATTACAAGATTAAGTTTTTAGACAAATTTTGGTCAATAGGGTTTTAAAAAAATAGGGTTTGGGGGACCACTTCCCATTTTCAGTTAGCAAAAAAATCTCGACTATATACTTTTTATAACAGACCTCACCAAATAAGAGGTTCACTAATCGAAATATATTGCGGTTTATTACAACATATTGCAATATTATTGCGCGTTCAATTTAAATTGCTATATATTGCTCAATTAATTGTCCAATAAAATATCAATAAAATTATACAAATGTAATGTGTTTGTAAATGTAATTTAGATGCATTTAAATATAAATAATTCTGATGCTTATCTAATTGCCTGTGTCATTTTTTTGTTTTACATAAATTTAATGAGTTTATAAGCAGTAGCAAGATTGTTGTTAAAATATTACAATATAATTGCAATATAATTGCAATATAATTGTAACATTATTGCAATATTATTGCAACTAATATTAGGTAATCGATTTTATGATTGTAACTGAAGTTACAAGCATGCTTTCATTGGACTTTATACTGCAGTGTAAGTGCGGCCAGGCAGGTTTCTTCGGCGCACGTTAGACATGGCTTGCATGAGCCCAGCAAACCTGTCTGGCCACACAAGATACCCGTGCAAAAATAACATAGTTATTTATAAGTAAAGACTAATAAAATTTTATTAATGGTGAATATATGTGCAATGAAACGAAATTTTTTTAATAGAAAGTACGAGAGAAGAACTTTACATTTTACGGCTGAGTCTACTTCTTCTGAAGAGGAAATTACTAATAGTAGTTCTCAGTCCGACTGTAGCAATACAGATGATAATGTTAATGATGGTAGTTTTACCCAAGAGACAGAAGAAATTGTATCTATAGTATCTGAGGAAGAAAATCAAATTCTAGTATCTGAGGAAGAATCGAGTGCTTCCATGTTTCAGTTCTTTAGTTCTAATCCATTTGAATGTTCTTTATTGGATTCAATTGTTAACAAAAAGTTTATGTTTTTAACCTTGTTGTATTTAATGATTAGCAATTCATTTACTGAAATCGCATTTGATAGATTTTTGAAGACTTTGCTGGTATGTTAGATGTAGTTTAAATTGTGCAATGTACTTGTAAATGAATATTGTGAAGCTAATAAAATTATCAATCAACTTAGTCCTTAGCAATAAATGTTGATCTGGCTATTTATCTCTGGCTGCTACCAGAAATGGTGCACATTGCCAATAATTCGTAAAAAAAGTCTGATAAAGTAATGCAGAACGTTCCTAATTATAAAACATTTTACTTGTGAAAATTTTATTCGACTTTTTTTACAAATTATATATTATATAATATTTTACAATTATATATTATATATTTTATATCTATAGTTTTTACAAATTATTTTTTTTACAAATTATTAAATTATAAAAATAATGAAGTATGTCATATTTTTATTTCAACTTGAGGCTGGGGTCTGGCCCAGGCTTAGTTTGGTTGATAAAGCTTAAAAAAATATATTTTTAATTTTTAAATTTTTTTAATAGATTTTTCGCTGTATAAATGACATGCCGTCATCTCATAAAATGATTCGTAGATTTGTTACTAAAAATATATTCTCCCATACTGAACCAACGCATAAATATTATTGTCATAATTGCTGCACAGCTTTAGTTGACACGTGTAAAATAAATACTCATTGTTCATCCCATATCTTTATATTGGATATCATTAGCCAAATGAAACTTGTTTTATTTCTGAATTTGGATGCAATTAAATCATATCAATTGGAAATTATGTCAGGTAAAAGAAAGAGTGATTTTATTTTTAGACCAAATTTTGTTGAAAATATGAAGTCTGCAAATGTTTTACATATTCATTTATTGATGTCAACAGATGGTGGAGAACCATACACAAAAAAAAAGATTACAATGTGGCCATTTCATGCTATTATTTTAGATTTACCATCTTATAAATGATTCCTATTTGAAAATACACTACTTCTTGGTTTATGGTTCTCATTATTAAAACCTAATTGGAATGCTTATTTAAAGGTAATTAAATTATTGATTGTTATTTTTTATTTTAAAAGTAGTTGTCAATGGAATTACCTATAGTAGTAGAATTCACTGTTCCAGCCGTGACAAGAATAAATTGGGCAACGTTACTATATTACTAACTTTTTTTTAGGAGTACATCAATGGAAAACTGTTTGAAACACCCCTTGAAATTAACAATATCCAAGTAGTTATTCATATTGTTGGTTTTGTTTTCGATTTGCCTGCAGTGGCTTCAATCATCAATCATAAGCAGTATAATGGTGAATTTGGATGTCACTATTGCGAACATCCTGGTAGAACAATTGAAAGAAAACATGGTTCCGCTAGAATTTATTCACATTCAGATACAAATTATAATCTTAAAACATCTGAAATGTATGCCATATATGCTAGATTAGCCGAAAAATCAAAAGTATCTGTATTTGGAATTAAAGGCTCAAACATCTTTAGTGACATTTCATTTATTAAAGTGCCAGATATGATACTTATTGATGTGTTACATTTGTTTTACGAAAATTGCTCAAAAAAGCTTTTAGTTTGTTTATTTTCTGTTACCAATAAACACGAATCATTTTTTATTGGTAGTGCAAAATTAAATGCTATGGAAATCTTACTTGCTGATCAAAAAATGCCACATAACATGCCCAAGCCATTAACTATTAAATCATTCACACATTGGAAAGGCCATGACTTTAAAAACTTTATTTTATACTTAGCAGTTCCATATTTTTTACCATATTTGAATCCTGACTGCATGATGATGATTTATTCTCTAGTAATTGGAATGCGTTTGTGTAGCAGTGAAATATGTTTAGATAAGGTGTTGCTTATTAGTCAGCTGTTTAACTTTTATCAAAAATCATTGTCTGAGTTGCTTCCTTTATATATGAATACTATAAATGTTCATTTGCTTGGTCATGTTAGCGATATTATTAAAATGCATGGAAGTGTTACAAATTACTCAATGTTTTTTTTTGAAGCTCGGCTAAGTAGTTATAAAAAAATGATGAAGGGAACACTTGGTCATCCATAACAGATTGTAGAAAAATTTCTTGACTTCAAAACAGCTTCTTGTTTTTTGCAAACAACAGATCATCCTAAAAAAGTTGAAGTTTGTAAAGCATTAAATATTGGCATTATTGAACAATAAGAATTGCAGTTGTTAAATCCGGGCAGATTGTTGAAACATGGTATTGTTTACCATTCAAAAGGTTATGGCAAACATAACAGCTACACTTGTCAATTTGGACATAATAAGTTTGGTATCATATTAGATTTTCCTTTAGTTGACAATGTAATACATGTTCAGTTACAACTATTGAATGTGAAGTGTAAATTAGTTTCTACTTTTGGTGATATGATTGGAAATTTGGAAATTAACTTTGATGATGACTTTTTTTTATTGTTGAACAAACAAAAAACATTGTTGTTATTTCAGCTGACACTTTAGTCTGCAAATGTATATTAATTAAAAGTAAATTAGATACAAAAGATGTATTAATTTTGACACCATTGAAAGAACTTTTCGAATATGCTTAGGGTGGCTAAATGTAAATTTTGTAATTAATAAATATGCTTCACATCATGCATGTGTGTTTTTTTATACTAACAAACATTTTTGTTTTTAATATTTTGATAATTTGATTTAAAATAATTTGATAATTTGATTGAATTTTTTTACAGGTTTATATTTTATTAAATAATGACTTACCCTGATAGAAATAGAACAAAGAAATTAGATTTTGTAGACACTCAAAAGCTTTCTTCTACGTTTGTTCTTTTATGGTACAAGGATTGTGAAAAAGATGAGCGGCATACCTCTCCCATATCACTTTCAAATACACTTTTTAAGCATTATTCATCCGTTGAATGCCTTGAATTTCAAGTGCTAAGTGTGTTAAAAAAAACTGACAGCATTTACCATACATAACATAATTAAAGTCCACCTTTAAATTTTATCCCCCCCTCCCTATAATTGACAAAGAAGATAAATTTTGTTTTGTTTTTTTACATACCAGCTATTAGCTGAATATATCAGCTATCAGCTATTAGCTGAATATATAGAAGCCCACCTTAAAATAGAAGCAAGTATTTTAGATGCCCACGAATAAGATAAAAATGTTTTTTTTGTTTTTTTACATAGCTGAATATATAGAAGCCCACCCTAAAATGGAAGAAGTATTTTAGATGCCCACTTTTTAGGGATGTTGAAAAATGGAAGCCCCTGCTTTTATTATACTATTTATGGTGTGTTGATAATTAAATTTAATGTTTTTTACTTATTAGAAAAATGTAGTGCATGTTTCTATTGCAAATATACAACACGCAGCTGTCATCATCTATAAGGGGTCTATTACCCAATGCTGTAAATTTGAAACATTGCTAGATAACTTCATGGACGATTTTGGTGATGAAAATCCTAGCACTGATGAAGTAAGCAAGTTTGCCCTCAATTATATTGAAGGCAATACTGACGGAAAAAGAAAACATTCTGATGGAGACCAATCCTCAGGTAACTTATGTAATATAAATGTGTGACAATGACAAGACAATATTATAGTAATTTTATTTAAAATTTACTCTTCTGTGTAGTGGTGAACTGAACCATGGTGCCGGAGTGCAATAGTTACCTTTGTTACCAGACAGAGTTTAGTTATTATGTCTGCCACACAAGTAATAATTAATTAAACATTTTTGCTAAATAATAAAAAATGACACAAAATTCACACAAAAATTATCAACACAAGTTAAAGTTGCACTATCCGATGGTAGGTGGGGATCTATTGGATCCACTAGTAGCCTAGCCCCTAGTACACCCATGATTATATGTTTGTAACCACAACTTGTTCATGTTTTTTTTTATAGATTCAGAGAATATTGCACCGGTCTCAGAACATACAGGCCTAAACGGACCTAAATATAAATCGACTCCTAAATCAAAGGTGCTGAAAAAAAACATGTAAATGAATTGTTGAATGAAAATTCAGGTAATTTTAATAATATTACAATTTTGTTTATGTAATTTCTTGAACATATTTTTATTGTCTTTTTCATTTATAGAATCAGAGTTCTTTGCATCATTTTATAACAGTCAAAAAGGATCTAAAAAAAGTGAAGCACAGATTATGGCTTTGGAAAAGCGGAAGCTTGACATGCTACTTGACAATGTTGATGCTCCCAGAGCATTGATGCTTCCAATAATTAGTGATGTTCCTAAAACAAAACACTGTGGTTCACCGAAGTTAAGCAAACTATCTTGTTTAGAAGGTTAGTTACAGTCCTATAGTATGAATACTGTGTTTGCCTAAGTTCTACCATATTGTACTTGTACATAGAAGTGCTATATATTTTTTTTAACATTAGCAATTTTGATTGAACAAAAGAAACTTCTTTTTGAACAAAAGAAGACCAACAAACTGTTGTCTGAAATTTTGCGCCCAATAGAAAAAGAATCTGTAAATAATGATAATGTAAGTCAATTTAATTTTTGTAATTTAATTAAAAAAAGCTCATCCAATGAGAGCACAACTTGCTAGTATTTACCAAATTGAATAAAAGAAATATTGATTGCTAAAAGGAAAGGTACATTTATATACAAAAGGTTGCATAATTTGACCATCCATTGAAAAATGTTTACTAAATCCGAACTTATCTGTATTATACATTTTAGGCCGTGTATACTGGTTTTGATGCCGAATTTAAATTGCACGACATTCAAAAACGAGAACCATGTAGCTTTGCAAGAAAATTTATTTTGTTGCGATTCGGAAAGGAGTTTACTTGCACGCGTATTTGTGAACCAAACGGACCTACTGCACGCATTCATATGGAGAATAAAGAAATTCAGGAAAGTAAAGGTGCACTTGACAAAGTGTTTACGTCTTACAACTGGCGTGTTGTTCGGGCGAGTATTAATCAATTTTTCCGAGACAATAAAAGTAGTACAAAAGTTTGAAGACTAAACAAATGAGTGACATTTTTCTTGTGGTGTGGGGTTGTCAGCGTTTTTCGCTTATCCCCCCCCCCCCCCCATTCTATCTGTAATGTGTTTTGTATGTTTTGTGTGTTAAATAAATACACCATCTTATTTATTCTAAATTTAGTTGTTTTTTTAACTTTTAAAATTCGAATTTAGTATGAATTGAAAGTGTACATAAATGTTTCTTTCAAATGTCAACTTTCAGCGCTGCTGCTAGACGATAATAAAATTGCAAAGAGTTTTATTGTCAATATTGCGAGATTATTGCCCAATATAATTGCAATTTTATTGCGAGATTATTGCCCAAGATATTGGCCAATATTATTACAATTTTATTGTCAATATTGCAATATTATTGCCCAATATATTGCCAATCCATTGCAAGTTATTGGCAATATTGGCCAATAAAATTGCAATATTATTGCAATTAAAAAAAAAATATATTGATTAGTGTTGTGCCATTTAAAATTTGAAAAAAAAATTTTCATATAAAAAAACCACCCTAACATATATATATATATATATACACATATATATATACACACACACACATATATATATATATATATATATATATATATATATATATATATATATATATATATATATATATATACACACATATATTTATATACACACATTCACACATATATATATATATATATATATATATATATACACATATATATATACACATATATATATATATATATATATACACACATATATATATATATATATATATATATATATATATATATATATATATATATATATATATATATATATATATATATATATATATATATATATATATATATATATATATATATATATATATATATATATATATTAGTGTTATGACTTTTTTGTGATCCTATGTTACTTGGTCATAAATTGATGAATATTTGTACAAAAGTAATAATAAAACAATAAACTCAGTTTTCTTGTTGAAAAAGGTCACCCACAAACCAAAAATTAGAATTTACCATATATGCAAATAGATAAAATTTTAAACAAATTTATGATTGTTATTTTTTAATTCTTATTTGTTTATTAGGAGAGTTATTAGTTGGTTTTTAAGTATTTATCAGTTTATTGTTTCATCGTAGCATTCTAAATTACAAATAAACATAAAACTACAAACTTAAATAACAATTTTACAAGTATGAAAGGAAAAAAACCGAAAAAATGTTGTGTAGTATTCAGCTTAATTAAAGTGTGATATACAATTCTTATGCTTTGTTAGACAAAATAAATCTAAGCTGAAGGTTTAAAAAGATTTTGAAGAAGCAAAAAGATCTTGAAGACACTTGATTGCTTATTCTGTACACTAACTTGATGGATCCTGATTCCAAAACTTTTTCACTGAGTTTAATGTTCCAAAAATTCCATCTTGCATTATTTAATTTAGGTAACTTTAGAAACTTCCAACAAATTGTGGCTCTTCCAGTATTTTCTCCGTAAAACCTCTTTGTAACTGACTATCAATGGGTTCCTCCTTTTTTTTTTGAATTTACCTCTCCAAGGCATGAAGGCTATTACAGTCAAGGAGGCTACTAAAGTTGTGAATAAAACCCTCTCTCAACGCTTTAACTCAAAAACACAGACCTTGACGAACAAGGCCATTGGTTGGAGAAACAAGTTAAGCACTGTACTACCATGGATGTGGTGGGGATCGAACTCTTTTTATGGTGTTTGCATGCTGCAACAATCATTTTTATACTCTTCCATAAATAATATTTATCAAGGTGCTATACCTTTAACAACAGTAACTGTATTTCTGACTTAAAGATCTAGTGCTTGTAATTTAACTTCTCTTTGTTTATTCTTCAATACTTCAAAACTTGATATTCATGGTGACTAATATAGCGATTCCACGGCGCAACGAAAAACATTTGACGTTTGACATTTTGTGTTTTTTTTCACTAAATTGAAAACTTAAATATGAGCTCAATTATTTAGCTAATATTAAAATATTAAGTGAAAAACAACAACATCAAATTTCATATGTTTGTTGTCAACATTGTTGACAACAAACAAAAATGATGGAAAAAACAAAGATTTTTATACCATTTAAAGCAGTTATATATTATTTCATAAGATGAACGGTCCTATTTAGCTAATATTTAAGTGAATAAGAAATGATTCAAGAAAGTGAATAAGAAATAATCTTTAATTTGAGGAATATTTCTTAATAAAATCCTTAAATTAAAGCTTAATAAGGATATGAATAAGAAATAATTCTTATTAAGATTTAATTTAAGGATGTGAATAAAAAATAATCCTTATAATAAAGATTATTTCTTATTCACATCCTGGATATGAATAAGAAATAATCCTTATTAAGGCTTAATAAGGATTATTTTTTATTCACATCCTTGATAAGATTTAATTTAAGGATGTGAATAAGAAATATTCTTTATTAAGGATGTGAATGAGAAGTTTTTTTATTATGAATAACAAACAAAAATAATGGAAAGAACAACATTTTTAATAAGATTTAATAAGGATATATAAGGTTTAATTTAAAGATGTAAATAATTAATTTATGGACCTTAAATTAATTAGTCACATTCTTAGATTAATCCTTATATATCCTTATTAAACCTTATTAAGGCTTAAGGATTAATAAGGATATATAAGGATAATAAGGATTTTCACTTTCAATTTCATATTTAGTATTCAAATATAACTTTATTTAATTTCTAAATATGAAATTAAAAGTGAAATTTTTAATTTTATATTCATTACATCTTCTATTAATTTGTCTATTTTGAAAATAAGAGAGATTAATTCAGGAAAAATAGGCGATTAATCAAATCACCAGATAATAAAGTTAGTTAGTGATCTGAATTGAAAACTGGGAGATTCTATTCATAAACTTGAGTTTCAAGAAGACAATTATCAGATTGATAAAGACTTGATAAAGTCTTTATCAACTTGATAAGTCAACTTGATAAAGACTTCTCTACAATAGAAGTTTGAGTAACAGAGCTTGAAAAAACAGCATTAGCAGTTTTCAAGTTTAAATCAGAAAATAAACTTTTAGAAGCAGAAACATCTTCTTTAACAAACTCTCTAGAATTTGTTCCAGAAGATGTTTGACTAGAAGTAGGGATAGAACAATTAGCAGAAGGTAGCAAATCATCAACATTGTTGAATCATGCGAGATTAACTTTTTATTTTAACTATCTATAATTCCAACAAGGCTGGAAGCAACCACTTTTAGTGTTGGTAGTAACTGGACGACCCAAGATGAAGATTGTAACAATCTTCATCTTGGGTCATTACTGGGTCATCTAGGGTCGTAACTTGGGTTGTAACAAGATGAATGGAGAGTATTGCAAAAAATTGTTGTTTATTTTATTATTATACTATTGTATACAAATACTAACTTAGCCATAGTTTGTATATAAGGTTTCCATGAGAGGTTAGTACAAAAAGATAATCAGAGACAATGTAAAGTAAAAATGTTGCCATTCATCAATATAGAAATATTAACAAGATTGCAGAGACTTTTTAAAGACTTTACCAGATACACCATATCATCCAGAGCAATAGAATTTGCTCTCCAAATCGAGATGATTCAAGTCCATATGTTTCTTATGTCATCAACAAATAGAGCCACCTTTGAGCTTTTTCGGATGTTCATTAATGTTGCTTTTCACACCTGTGAGCTTTTCAGGATGATCATTAATATTGGTTAGAAATGGTAAAGGGCTGAGGATAGAAGTTAACCTTGTCAGCTAAGTATTGACACTAGTGTGAATTTGCAGCATTTAGTGCCACAGGGTCGGTTTGTTTTGTGATTGTGATGTTATTGTTGTAATGTTTTGTGTTGATAGATAACTTGGTTACCTTCTTGCTGGTGTCTATTATTGGTGTTAAAAATAATTATTAGTTTGTTTCCTTACTGAAACTTGCTACTTCTAGTCATTCACTAAAAGCCAAGAGATAAGTTGTAGAATAGCAACATTTTTTGTTTTAATGTTGCTTTTGTTGTTTTTTATCTTTGGTGTTGTCAATAGTTCACATAAATGTTTTCAAAGAATAAGTTTCTTATTTTATATTTATTTAGTTTTAATTGTTAATTTTAAATTTTTTTTAATTTTTAATTTTTAAAACGAATTAACAAATATTTTTGAAAAAGTGTGTATCTGCATTTTTAATAATAATTTTATTACAATTTTAGGTTGAGTTTCTGCTGTTACACCTGCTATTGCTGTTGTAAGTACTCAAAATTTCAGGAAGTTCTATTGCTGTAAGTTATTTTCATTCAAATTTAAATTTTAACTTTATTAAAGAATCTTCTTTCTGTTAAATAGGTAATTCTAAATGATTCAGATATCAAGCCAAATGTAATAATGGCGCAAAAATATCAAAAAATTTTAAAAAATTACAAACTATTTAAATTTGACATGTTTAATTTGTTTGAACAGCCCATTTTCAGCAATTTACTGATTGAACAGTAATTTATGTGATTATATCATTAACCAGTCTGTAAATTATGCAATAGTTTTCAAATGATGTATTTTTTGGATTCGATGATTTCTTTATGCATATTCGCATGTTATAATTATAATATGACCCCAAATATTATTCTTTAAAAAATAAGAAAATAATATAAAACCCTTCAGGCTGTAAAATAGATGATTCTGGACAATGGCAACATATTTTTTTAAATAAAATTTTGGCTTTTTATTTTCTTATAGTTGTTTAATCACTATAAAAAATTTCAAGTCAAAAGTAATAACGATTCAAAAGTTATTCAACAGACCCCAAAAATATAAAAATTAGTAAAAACCCTTGGTCTGTAAAATAGATGATTCTTATCAATCACGACAGATTTAAAAAAAAAAAAACTTTGGAATTTTATTTCCTTATAGTTGGTTGGTCACTATGGAAAATTTTAAGTCAAATGTATTATTGGTTCGAAAGTTGTTCAAAAGTCAATATGGCCCAAATTATATAAATTAGTAAAAATCATTAGTCTGTAAAATAGATAATTCTTGTCGATCCCGACAGGTTTTTAGAAAAAAAAATTTGGAATTTTATTTCCTTATAGTTAATTGGTCACTATGGAAAATTTCAAGTCAAATGTATGATCAGTTCAAAG